TTGTTTTCATTTCGTGTACCAAATGCGTCAGCTATTCGTACAAAACACTTAATATTATTAACCAGTAAAAAGATCTAAATTTCATGGAAAAAGCCACCTCTTTATTACATTGACTATCACAATGTTCTCAAATTAAGTATTTGGAGACCAGTCAAGCCTGACCTCCCTAATGTGGGTACAGCTCTATTATGGATAGTTCTGGTGATCCCAAAGACACAATCAGAGAGTTCATATAGACAACAAATAGTCCACGCAATTCATGCCTCTGTAGTACAAAACTCCTCTACAATGTGTACGCTTAAGTCTAGCCCGTATTAGGAAGGTCTCACTACCAGCAGTAATAATGACTACCACAGATTCAACGTTCTTTTTAAAATTATCTTCATTCTGGATTAGGAAAGGTAAAGCGTGGGTTTTCGATTTTTGTTACCATTCATGAATGTCTTAGGGTCTGTGTACATATAGGTGGGGGACCCCAAGTAGGTGAGGTAACCCGCCGCTTAAATGGGTAACCTGCCTGGCCATATAGTCTCTCATTTTAATTTGATCACGTTAACATGATGGGTGGGTGACCATATGAGAGATTATATGGACAGGAGGGTCACCCCACCTAAGAGGGTATCCTCACCTACCTGAGGTATTCCACCTCCATGCAAACAAGCCCTTAGGCCACGATCGGCCAAGGTGGAAACGGCAAAGCATTATTTTTGATCGAAGTAAGCAAGTTAAAGCCCAAGAGTTCAATTTCCTTCAACTTTCCGCCATCTGTATTCTTCCACTCCTATATTTTGTTCGCAGCAGGCCGTGTAATTCTCAGGTCATAGATACCGATGTTTTCATACTTTATTTTATGGCTGCCTATTGTTAGGCTAAACATTGAAAGAGACAATAATTTCCTCAAGAACTGGTTTCTTTTAAAGCGAGGTCGCGGGGACTCCCATACAAAAAAGACGGGGATACTGGTTTGAAATTAATAATTAAACTCTTTAAGGAAGCCAAGCCTTTGACCCCCAAAGGAAGCTAAAATCTGACACAGTGTGGAGACATTTGCTTGTTTGTTATTCCATAGACACTTTGACGCACAACCCTAGGGAAAACTTAATGACTAGAAATCATGGCTTTCCGTCCGGAACACGCTAAGTGAGATCAAAATTTGGAATTTCTACCCTTAAGCGAGCGTAAAAGCATCTCCGTCATTTTCATTTGAGAGTCCCCATCTCTAGAGCTACGATGAAGTTCATTGTACGAAATTCCTCCTTCCCCCTCCGTTGCTTGTCGCTTGTCATAATCAATGACCTAGTCGCCATGACCGAGTTTTTTAGTAAGTTATGTGATGGTAATGCACTCAGTTTCGTGACAAGACGGCCAAAATTTTTCGCTGGCCAGTGAAGCTCATTCTTGCATGCTGTACAGCAAAATTGTCAATCACTAAAACGTCACCAGTTCTCCAGCGAAAACCTACAGCGCATGACCAAGTGACCGCTCTTATATTTTCAAGGACAACAGGCTCAATTTCACTACCGTCGCCGTAATAGGTGTGGTATGGGTAATTGTCAAAAGGAAGATTCGAGTCCTTGATCCTAAAGATGGAAGGAAAATGGTCGTTGTTAATTTTTCTACCTTCTCTACGCTTTTTTGTTTTTTTGTTTTTTTAAGACCCCATTGCACCGGGTTGGCTTGCCTGCTACTACTAGAGACCTTTAAATTCTAAGACGAGGACAACAACGAGGACGACATTTTGTCAATACTTACCAGTGTGCAAGCGTGAAGCAGCGTCATTTTGGCGGGAAAAGATAGCCGTCGTCGTTCTACTACGAGTTTTAGAGACCTTTAAATTCAAAACGAGGACAACTTAGCCTCCCCGTAGACGTCCTTTGGGGTTTGTTCGTCACACATTCATTTCTCCCCCACGGAGAAATGAATGCGTGACGAACGAACCCCAAAGGACGTCTGCGGGGAGGCTAAAGACAACTACGAGGACAAGATTTTGTCCATACTTACTAGTGCGCACGCGTCAACCAGCGTCATTTTGGCGGACAAACGTGGTAGCCGTCGTCATTTTTTCCCTAGTTTTAGCGAGAATATCGCACGTACTTTACTGGCAAATAAAAAGGAATGCTACATTATGAAAAGAGCCACTTTAGCGCAAGAAAACTGTCCAATGTCTTTTTTTCTTTTCGTATTACCATGATACCATCTATCTCTTGTTACACTTTCATCTCGTTCGATATAATTACTGTAGTAAGTGCAAAAAAAGGGACTCACTGTAACACTTCTTTTTATTTTATTATTTTTTTAATTCATTTATTTTTATTTTTTATTATTTTGTTCACCTTGGCGTATTGAAAATGTCTTATTTTCTAAGGCATGCTTGTTTTAAAGTTTCTAGCGACTATGGAGACAACAAATTTAAAATGCCAGTTTAGGCTCTACTAACACCTGTCAGATCATACCCTGTATTGTTTACAAACTGACCAATAGCATTCCTGTATACGACAACCACCATCTTATATATCCTATCCCGGTGTGCTAAAATTATTGAACTTTCAAGAGCTTGGATTATCAACTTTACCCAGGTTAGTTACAATTAAATGTTGAATAAAAAATTAGAACGAATGGACAAGAAACAGGTTACCTAAGATAGGTAAACAGTTACAATAATAGACCTTTATACATACATCCTAATTCAGCATGTCATGATGTTACAAATATCTAATTGTAAACTAAACTTTCAAATGGTAAATACATCGCAAAGCTAAACTAATTTTAAATTGGAGGGGCCTGTAAGGTTAAAAACGGTAATATTGCCACGAAACTCCCATAGTATTGTTTAATTTTGTGTCGTGAGAAATATTCTGCTTTGTCCTTTTACAGCTTGGATTTAATTTTTGAATCTTTTTCATCCGAGGAGAGGATAGTCGTATCCTTATTTTTTAGAAACAATTTCTTCTTGATTCTTAGTTTTTAACAACTCAAGGAGCAAATATGTATCCAGGGCAGTCTTGTTCAAAGCGGCTTCAATATCAAAAGCCAAAACCTTTAACGCGGCATTAACTAACAATGCATGTCATTAGTCGTGAAATCCCCTACAAGTTGTATTTATTTCGTGCAGGAATGACATTGACAATCTTGCAGAAAAATAATTTTCAATACCACAGTCATTCAGCCTACCTAGCAAGAGCCGTTGGTACAATGTACATTATATTTGAAGGTTTAGATAACATGAAAACTAGCGAAAAATGACAGCCGTGATCAGCAAGGTATATTCATGATTCATAGCACGTGTAAATGAAAATTATATGTGAACTTTATCCATGCAAAACATTTTGTTTCATATGTAACTTTCATTTCATAGTCGTACAATCGTATTAGCACATCCCGCATCACGTGAATAATGCTCTCCGAAATTTAATTACTTTTCTTCGGTTTTCCTTCTTGTTCTTTGCAATAGAGTGGTTTTCGTTTGAGTGTCGTAAAACCAAAACCAAAGTAATTACTCTGGCCAATCACATAGGACACAGACAATACATTGAACCAATCAAAACTCGAAGTAATTACATGTGGACGTCACAATTGGCTTTGGTTTTACTTCTGATTGGATGAAAAGGTGGCGCGAATCTTTTAAGCCAATCGCATCGTGTAGAAAGTGCAAAACCAATTACTTTTCGACACTCAAATGAAAACCGCTCTAAAACGCTGGATTAGCTCTTCGAACAAAAATACTAATCAGTCAGTGACCCGATTGGGTCATATTGTATACCGAAATGCTTTATAACACCTAATTTCATTGGCTCTAAAGGATCTTGCTCTGGAGGAACATGTTGTGCCTACTCTTCTGTAAGTAATATTTTAAAGAAATGAAATAAGTCAAGAGATAAAATACACAATTTTCTGGTACAGTTTTTGGTGCTAGTTTTTAAACTTTTTAAATTTTTTTGTTAATTTATTGGGTGAGATAGGAAGTGCGGAGGTGCGGACATCGGACACCGAAATCGGTGGGTCTCGAGTAAATATCTTGCAGACCGGAAAGTCCGGTTAGGACATCCGGATGATCGAGGTTTTGACTGTATATTGATTGATTGATTAGTTGATTGATTGATTGGTTGATTGATTGATTGATTGATTGATTGATTGATTGATTGATTAATTGTTTGGCTGACTGACTGACTAACTGTGGTCCTGACTCTCTTAGAGAGAAAGCTGGCTGTAACTGGCTTGCAATTTAAATTTGATTACATTTACTTGTATACAGCTATTTTGAGAGAGATTGTCGGAAAAAGTGCACGAAAGGTATTGTGGGTGGTTTGAGTTCGCTGTTCTTCAAAGAAATTTGAAAGAATGTCACGAGAGGCCTTGGACATATGTTTGCGAGTGGTAAAGGAAAGCAACAAAAGTAGATTCGACAGCTACAGTGTCAGGAACAGTGTATTGCTCATATCCCATATTACCTTTCAGGATTGTCGCGTGCACATTTTTTCCGACAAGCCTTTCTTGAAATAGCTGTATATCAGGTGAGAAGCCCGCCCTTACAACTGTACATGTTATTACGTAATATCAGAACCATGAAGGAAAAATGTCTAATAATTAAACAAAATCGCGGCATTTGAAAGAAATAATGTTCAGTGTTTTTTCGCAGGGTAAGAAATGAAGTGATGCACATACCGTCAACGAAGAAAGATAACAGGATATGAGACCTTCAGCACATACGAAGAACTGGGATGTTGGATGTGTATCTCTTAAAATTGTGATTTCATACGAGAGAAGTAATCAATAAATTGAATAAAGGTTGGGTTTCAATTGTGCCAAAGTTGTGTCGCCCTTATTATAAGATAAAGGAATAAACACTTATTTTGAGTCAATATTTGTCGTTTGTAATAGCTGTTATAATTTTTTCTGTAATATGTAGTACCTCTAACAACATATAGGGTATTTGTTATAATTTAAAAACTTGGTCGTAATTTGTAATAAGCAAAGCTGTCGTAATTTTTAATAACTTTGTCGTGATTTGTAGTAAACTTTATCATAGGCAAGTCTCTTAACATAAGATGAGACGTGAAAATTTTTCCAAATTTTCTAACATGATTTAGTGTTTCCAGGTATATTCTTACAATAGGCTACAAAAGGCCCCAAGCTTTAGGTCTAATTTAAAAGTCCGAAGCCTAATAAGGCAGTTTGGGAGACTTTGTGGTGCCGTGTTAGAAGTACTAATTGTACGTAAAATAATTTCAAGCACAAATACTCCAATGCATAGCTGAAGTTGCAAGAGAGTGGACATGATTGGCTTACATTGGCTATCACAAAATTCTCAAATTAAGAATTTGGTGAACAGTACTCAAACCTCTACTTCCATAACGTAGGCACATCTTTATTATGGATAGTTCTGGTGATCCCAGATAGACAATCAGAGAGTTCATATATACAATATAAACAACAAATAGTCCAGGCAATTCATACCTCTATAGCACAAAACTCCTCTACAATGTGTACGCTTAAGTCTAGCCCGTATTTTAGGAAGGTTTCACTACTAGCACTAATAATGATTACCACAGATTCAACGTTCTTTTTAAAATTATCTTCGTTCTGGATTGGTAAAGGTAAAGCGTGGGTTTTCAATTTTTGTTACCATTCATAAATGTCTTAGGGCCTGTTTACATATAGGTGGGGGACCCCAGGTAGGAGAGGTAACCCGCCGCTTAAATGGGTAACCCGCCTGGCCATATAATCTCCCATTTTAATTTGATCACGTTAACATTATGGGTGGGGTGACCATATAAGAGATTATACGGACATGAGGGTTACCCCACGTAAAAAGGTATCCTCACCTGCTCCACCTCTACTTAAACAGGCCATTAGCCCACTATTGGCGAAAGTGAAACGGCAAAGGATTATCTTTTATTATGCGGAAGTAAACAAGTTAAAGCCTAAGGGCTCAATTTCCTTCATCTTTCCGCCACCTTTATTCTCCCAGCAGGCAGTGAAATTCTTGGCTCACAGATACGGATATTTTCGTACTCTGTTTTATACTACTGCCTCGGTCTTATTATGCTAAATATTGAAATAGACAATTATTATAATTTCCTCTAGAACTGGTTGCTTTTTAAGCGAGGTTGTGGGGACTCCCATACAAAGAGACGTCAATACTGGTTGGAAATTAAGAATTCAGTAAACTCCTTAAGGAAACCAAACTGGCCATGGCTTAGGCTTTATTTGACCCCCAAAGAAGGCCAAACTCTGACACAGTGCGGAGACATTTGCTTGTTTGTTCTTCCATAGACATTTTGACGCACAACTCTAGGGAAAACTTTATGAGTAGAAATCATGGCTTTCCGTCTTGAACACGCTAAGTGAGATCAAAATTTGGAATTTCTACCCTTAAGCGACCTTAAAACCATCTCCGTCATTTTCATTTGAGAGTCCCCATCTCTAGAGCCACGATGAAGTTCATTGTTTGAAATTCCTCCTTCCCCCTCCGTTGCTTGTCGCTTGTCATAATCAATGGCCTAGTCGCAATGACCAAGTTTTTTTTAGTAAGTTATGTGACGGTAATGCACTCAGTTTCGTGACAAGACGGCTAAAATTTTTCGCTGGCCAGTGAAGCTCATTCTCGCATGCTGTACAGCAAGATTGTCAATCACTAAAACGTCACCAGTTCTCCAGCGAAAACCTACAGCGCATGACCAAGTGACGGCTCTTATATTTTCAAGGACAACAGGCTCAATTTCACTGCCGTCGCCGTAATAGGTGTGGTATGGGTATTTGTCAAAAGGAAGATTCGAGTCCTTGAACCTAAAGATGGAAGGAAAATGGTCGTTGTTAATTATTTCTGCCTTCTCTACGCCTTTTTTTTAAGACCCCACTGCACCGGGTTGGCTGGCCTGCCACCAATAGAAATTAAATTCTACGACGTGGACAACAGCGAGGACGATATTTTGTCAATACTGTGCAAGCGTGAACCAGCGTCATTTTGGCGGGAANATTCTCGCATGCTGTACAGCAAGATTGTCAATCACTAAAACGTCACCAGTTCTCCAGCGAAAACCTACAGCGCATGACCAAGTGACGGCTCTTATATTTTCAAGGACAACAGGCTCAATTTCACTGCCGTCGCCGTAATAGGTGTGGTATGGGTATTTGTCAAAAGGAAGATTCGAGTCCTTGAACCTAAAGATGGAAGGAAAATGGTCGTTGTTAATTATTTCTGCCTTCTCTACGCCTTTTTTTTAAGACCCCACTGCACCGGGTTGGCTGGCCTGCCACCAATAGAAATTAAATTCTACGACGTGGACAACAGCGAGGACGATATTTTGTCAATACTGTGCAAGCGTGAACCAGCGTCATTTTGGCGGGAAAAGATAGCAATCGTCATTCTACTGCGAGTTGTAGAGACCTTTAAATTCAAGACGAGGACAACTACGAGGGCAAGATTTTGTCAATACTTACTAGTGCGCACGCGTGAACCAGCGTCATTTTGGCGGACAAACGTGTTAGCCGTCGTCATTTTTTCCCTAGTTTTAGCGAGAATATCGCAGTGGCGAAAACACGTTAACAAGTATTAGAAATTTTATCATTTTATCAGGAGAGGGCTCAACCTCCTTCAATAAAAATAACCGTGCTAACTTTTCTGATGGAAATATACTTTTGGAAAATACGCGAAAAAACTTTAAGTAAAATCTCGCCTTCGAATCTAAAGGTCTTTTAAAATTAAATTATTTTCAGAGACACGTTAGACATTGAGTCTACATTTAGTTTTTTTTTCCCGCGAACCAAACGTCCGCGTTAACTCAGAGGAATTATGCCACGATGAATTTTCTAAACACAAGCTCCCTTTACCCGTCTTTCCCATCCCCCAATCGTTTTCTCGTTTGACCTCTGTTAGTTTTCGCTGGGCTTTGTCTCTTACTTTAAAACCACAGGTAAAAAACACGCCAATAAAACAACCCGTCATGTGCAGGCTAAGGAAAGTTCCGACTTGCACTTTGACTAGGGCTGTTATTTGTAGTGGTGATCGAATATAGATTTTCCACTGTAGTTCGTGTTTGGCGGCATATCTTGTGTCACTTAAGGAGGATCTGAATGGGGGTATCTCGATAACACTAAAAACTTAATTATTTTGATCATGGATAATAGAAAGACTCTGTAACATGAAACAATTAAATTTTAGGCATTTTAACACTAAAAGTAAAAAATTTACTGTCACAGTAAATTTTTTCCAAAAAGGAAACGAAAACGGCTCCTCAAAATGTGAATATTATTTTGTTTAGTGTATAAACGAGTTTTCAGCCATTTCCGACAATTCCCGATTGTTTAGAAGATTTCCAAGCTTACTGAAGATTCACGAATACTGCCGAAGATTTCCGAAGACTATCAAAGATGTTCCACGACGGCTGAAGATTTCCGAGGAGAAACCCGAAAATTTTCGACTTTATTTTCGTCATTATATTCGCATGTGATATTTTTTACAGTGTACAGGTACGACTTTTTCACGAAAAACCCTCCAAAAGCTTCTCCGGAAACAATAAACGTTAAAAAATTGGCCAATTTAACAGCAAACACTAAACGGCTCGACCTTAGGCGTTCACGCGAGTGGTTTTCGCGCCAGATCAATATGCATGCGCCACTCGCTCCAGACTATACGGTTTGCGATTTTTAATCCCGAACAAAGGTCGTTTTCAGTAATACATGATAATGAAATTTCGTACCAGAACGATAATTATTCCGGAATGAGCTCATTCCGGAATGACTTGTACGGGAACGAAATGTCCTTTCGGTATCATGTAATCAAATACAGAGAAATATATGAAGCTCTCTTGTATAGATATAGAATGAACTCGTTCCAAAATGAAAGTCATTCCGGGATCATGTGAATAGCAACTTGTACGGGAACGAAATGTCCTTTCGGTATCATGTAATCAAATACAGAGAAATATATGAAGCTCTCTTGTATAGATATAGAATGAACTCGTTCCAAAATGAAAGTCATTCCGGGATCATGTGAATAGCCTCTTACCTTGGATTGTCTTTTAAGGCCGAAGCATGATGCCCTTGAATCTGGTTGAACCACATGGTTTCCCCAGTCTCCGGGTGTTGTTGGAAAGCCGGCAGGACATTCCAATAAATCAATGTCCCAGATGGTTCCCACTTATAACTGAAACTATTTTTTCTGAGAAAATGCTCTACAATCTGCAATAAAAAGTACAAAACAGTCATCCAGAAGTCGTGGCCTAGACAGCTTTCATTTTCGTTTTTCAATGTTGGCTTAGGGGAGGGGTAGGTGGGCAGTTTTCCAGAAACGTTTAATGATCCAGAAGTTGTGGTCTAGACAGCTTTCATTTTCGTTTTTCAATGTTGGCTTAGGGGAGGGGTAGGCGGGCAGTTTCCCAGAAACGTATAGTGATCCAGAAGTTGTGGCCTAGACAACTTTCATTTTACCCTGAATTTCAAGTTTCAAACTCCAGAACTCCCCAGCTGAGAGTATAGATTTATCAGAAAAATATAAAAGAAAAACTTCTTAAAGTTCTAAAGGAGGTAGATGATTACGTTGGCATACCATCCCTTATTTCCAGATTTAATTCCAAACGCCCTCAGTAGTTGCATACTATAATAATTTCACAACAACGTTCTTTCTTAAGCAACTCATCTTATCTTTAAAACGGAAAAGACCATAACAGTGAAATACGCAACTTTAGCAGTTGCGCTTGATAAAGCCTGAAGAAATTCAGGTTTTCCGGGATCCGACCCCTGCAAAACCGGTGCAGCGCTCTAGCCAGTTGAGCTGGCAAGCCAACTGGGAGTAAATGGGTTCATTAAGGTGATGTTTTCAACCTTGTTGCGACAATGTTTCGAATGTTCCAACATTGCTCTTACATTGCTACGTAGCGTTGCGCAAAAAATCGTCGTTGCGAATCCTCCCTTGTAACATCACCTTTATACCCGGGAAAGGTGATATGATTTATCGTCCCTCAGTTCAAGGACCTGAAAACTACGCCTGTGAGATTTTTACTGAATACCTTAGGATCTTCTGTCATAAATGTATCTTGCCATGGAAGGTACAGACCAGTTTCTTTCGAAGGAGCACAACGCACGTAGCAGACCCTCTTCTTATCAAAAGTTTGAACAATTTTCGGATCCAGGTGAGAAAGAATGTCGGCTCCTTTAACAAGCGGCGTCTCACCTCCACAATATTCCCCTGGTTCTTGGTGACAAAAGAACAGAACCTACAATGAACAGAGACAACGGGTAATGAGTATGTATCGCACACTTTGGAAAGATCTCAAGGACATAACGGTTGCAGTACAAAGGCTAATTAATGTTGAACATGAATGAACAGTGGCACCTTCCATGTTGGTGTCTGAGCTTACCCCTAAGAGAACATAAATTGGTCTTCTCTTACGTGTACCTGCTACACTTTTTAAATTTTTGTTTATTTTATTTCCTTTATTATAAAGGACGCTGCGTGCTGATAGCAGATAAATGACCGACTGATGGGTCGCTAACTTATGATGAGGCGACAATTGCGATCTTCTCCGTCCACTCTTCTTCAAAAGAGCTTTGAAGGAAATCAGTATATTCGTTGCAGCAATTTCTTCTTCTAAATCGGCGATATTTTGCAGTGGTTGCAAACCTCTAGGGCCAGAAGAAGTCACCGCTGGAAATACCTGATCAGTTGATAAGAGTTAACATCAATCAAGAAAGGAGAATAGTGGCAAAGAGGATTTAGCATCAACCAACCTTTTAGAGCGGTTTTCATTTGAGTGTCGAAAAGTAATTGGTTTTGCACTTTCTACACGATGTGATTGGCTTAAAAGATTCGCGCCACCTTTTCATCCAATCAGAAGTAAAACCAAAGCCAATTGTGACGCGCTCGCATGCATTTTCCCGCGCTTTGCGTCAGCCACATGTAATTACTTCGAGTTTTGATTGGTTCAATGTATTGTCTGTGTCCTATGTGATTGGCCAGAGTAATTACTTTGGTTTTGGTTTTACGACACTCAAACGAAAACCACTCTANTAACTTATGCTTCACCGGACCCTATTACCCTCTCGATCGTAAACGGGTCGGTCGTTGCTATTTTTAAGGGTCTAAGCTACTATTGGTAACCAAGCCTTTAGTCATAATAGATGTAATATATTCAGTGGATTAAATTACATACAGGCAAATAATCGGGGGCACCCAACGTCAGTTTTCGGAAAATATCTGTTCGGGAGACGATTTGAGATCTAGAATTTTCGGAACATTTGTTGTAAGATTTCTTGCTTGCCTACCTCTCAGTAGGATTTTCGAACATCTAAAAAATGGTCTAATTGGCCCATTTTTAACGGATTTTTACGCTAAAAAGGTCACCTAGAATTTTCGGGAGCCTTTCTTCTGGCTTAAATTTTCGAAAAGGTGAGTTTTGATCCCTATAATGTTCGGATCACTAGACTTTCAGCTAGGAAATCCGAACAGATGAAAAATTTTCCGGTGATAAAAATATGCCTATATCTACCGTTTAAATACTAAATTACGTTTAACAATGCTATGTTTAAGTGGCTATGAACTATCTTCTCGTTGGGTGCCCCTGAAATAATACGTTTTTAAATAATCTTAGAAAGAACGACATTGAAGCCCAACTTGAATTTACGCTAAAATGTTATGGAAAGGGCTAGGGTCAACTGTTGTTCTGGGAAATGTTATTTTCTAAAACAATGAACTGTATTTTTCCACAAGCGAATGTCAGTTTGAAGGAAAGCGACGTGAGCTACCGAATGGTGCAGTATATTTAGAGAATAGGCAGGAAAATGCCCCGCGGATAGCAATTGCAAGGTGAATAGTATAAAACGTGATTTCACCTCGTCCTGTCTTCGCGGTAGACTAAGTAGGGCACGTTTACTTGAAGGTTCTTCTGTAGGTCAAAAACAATTAATCAACGCACCTGGTTTGGAACGTTGAAGAGGAGAGGGATTTGGAAAATTGTGCGTACCTCTAGAAAAATCCTGGCTACCCCCTGTGTACTTAAATCATTTTTTGGAATTTTGGCGGGTCGGTGCGGTAGTGTTTTGATAAGGGACAGAGATTAGGACACGAAACGTCCGAGTTCGAGGTCCTGGTTCGACCCTGGGTTGCCATTTTCTTTCTTTCTAATAGAAACACTCTCAATAACAGGTAAAAAATGTTTTAAGTGTAGCGACCTTTTACTAAAGGGACAACTGAGTCTCAACCGCTTTGCCGGCTCCCGCTGGCGACTCTGCCGTCGAAAAATATCCTGAAGTCACACATGTGAGCCTAATCGCAGACTGCCAATTCAAACATGTAAGATTACAACCCACATTCAAGGGTGTCAGCCTGCTTAAAGAGTTTGTAAGTCGTGCAGAAAGGAGCATAATCAATGAACACGTTAATGCACAATTTTATAATTATAATTCTCTGCGAAAAATTGAAAAGTTTTAAGTTACCTTTGCTGCATATGAAGGACTGTAGGCCATTTCATTGTGAAAATCGATCACGACCTCCGGAGGCTCATCAGTGGCTGTGTATGTGTCAGAGTCATCGACTCTCTTTCTCTCCACCGTGCCAGCTTCATATCTCATAGCCTGGAAACCCAGCCCTTGACACAGGCTTGCAAAGTCATTGGACGTTTTCAGAGGAAGGTTCCTAAGCAACACCGCGCCATAACGATAAAGATTATCGGTAATATATCTTCTGCAACCGTCAACGAGTTTGCTGAAGGGGTGGAGATGAGGGTCTTTGATTTTGACGGCGTGCGGAAACGTTTCTGTTGGCGGCGATAAAACTTCCGGGAAACCCCTACTGGTAGAACCAGGCAGAAACGGCTTGCCAGCCAATGCAGATGAAACTTTTGGCTGCGTCTCAGCTGGGTTTAACCTCACAAATTTAAGGCCCTCAATCTCGAGTTCCACTTCCTTTGTTTTTGAAATCAAGGAACGTTTTGGCATGGTGTCAAAAAGAGCTTGGGTGACAAAAAACCTTCTAAAAGATGTTAACAGCATGGTGGCACTGACAAACTAAAGAAAGGAAAAGAAATGGCATTTCATTTCGGATGTCCCCTTACAGGAGTTTGTGTGGGAGTTGAAACAGGGGTTTGTTAAGGCGGCCGTAAGTTGAGCAGTCCCCTTACGAGAGTGTCCGTTGAGAGTTTCCATTCTATGAAAATTATCAATCACATTCCACTAACATCTCGATCACATTCAATTCACAGTCACATCAAAGGTCATCAAGTCAACGGGCAATCACATTCAAGAACGACTTTTTTCACTATCAACAAATCCCATTATGCTTTGCGCTATTTTGACGTGGCCCCTAGTGAAACGACTGTAGACTTAATTATATCCATTTTGAAATCACTGGTGATCGCAGCTATCTGATTGGCTCTCAGCGGTGTGATTTATTCACCAATTACACTATTTTTTTGCTCTAAACCACATGTAACAGGACGGGGCGGTAAACTAGCAGGAACTAGAAGGATTTAAGGATTTTCCAAAGCAATTTATTTGAAACTCAAATCTATCAGGAATACAGCAACAATATAATAAGAAAAATAAAAATAAACGGGAACCACTAAAAGATTAAACCTAGCAAAAGAATACAAAGTAATAGAATTACTGATAAAATGTATAAAGTGAACACTTTCACACAGAATAACTCTGCGAGTTTGACATGTGGAGAATCTGAACTGTAAAAATATTTTAATTTCCTCTTTTCACTATTTACGATAACTTTAATTTGCAACTTTTTGAAGGTTTAGGTCGAGTAAAAAAAAATTATTAGACTTGAAAACTACACATTTCTTGTCTGGCAGTACAGCCAGGGGCTCATACAGGACTGCAGCTGCTCAATCAGGAATTGATATTCTTTCAAGGGCCTTAAGATACTAATTAAAACAACAATCAGCTGCAACAGTTTTTTTAATTATCAGGAAGAGTATAAATAAGCCTGCCTTCCCAGGACAAAATTTCTTATTACTGAATCGCTATCATTTAATACCGTTCATTAATAAAGTGCAACATCTTTTAGCCTGACGTGTAGGATTGAAATGGTAATTTTAATTCTTCCTAATAACTAAGACAAAACATGAAGCTTATGAAATGAGCAAAAAGATAATATTTTTAAATCCCAATTGCTGCGCGAATAACAGGCCGTCTGATAATTACGCGATTTACGGGCGGGTGCGATTTCGCTCAATTGACCTCAAATCGCATCCGATCGCACAATTTGAGGAAAATCGCATAATTCGTAAACAAAAATGCTATATTCAAGTAAAGTAAACAATAAATTCTAACTTTAATCAAACATTTTCCCAATCTTAATGATATTTACGGTGATTTATCATTAAAGAAAGCCTTGATAGACATCTGAAACCTTCGATCGCGGTATCTGGGTAGTCATTTTGATTTGAGAGACAAGCAGTGTGGTCAGCGGTTTAACGGGGTCATTTAAAATTAAACAAGTGTCCTTTTTCTTTCTTTCTACTTGTTTCTTTTTCCGGGTCAAGGTAATTGGACAAATTTAGCTATTTTGTTTTAAAATAGGTGTTTTATTGTCCAGTCTCGCTGGTTAAGTTACGTAAACCGGTTCTATGATTTCCCATATTTTTCTTTTATTTTTATGTAAACTGGTTTCTGCAAATCCCAAGGGATTATAAAATCTTTACGATCACTGGACAGCACTTCTTGAATCCAATTAATGCGGTCCCAAGGGAAAAACACACGCCTCCTGGAGATAACGAGGGGATGATCCCCTAAAAACAAAACGAGAAATTCGATGAATGACAGAACAAACTGGCCTAGTTCCTACTTATTGCCAGTGAAATAGCGAAATTAAAACGAATAACAATTGTATAGAATTCAGTAGAAAAGACTAAACTAAGACTAAAATTTTTCAGTAATTAACGAGGTCAAGTACTTAACTTGCTAGAAGCAAGTTCTCTTGTTAACTTTACAACAGCTGCAGTTTCTTCAGTGATGTCCAAACTCAACTGAAATACGGCTAAAACGTGCCTCTATTAAACAATTTTGCACGTAGGAAAACATTAAGAGGTGTGTTGCCAAACCACAGTAAAACAGAACGCCAGGATTTCCTTAGGTTAAGCCCACTAACTTGAAAAGATAAGGTCAATTAAATGATTCAAACAATCTACCGAAAAAGAAAACCACAAGAAGCTCAGTGAAAGCTAACATCCGCTACGGCATTTAGGCAATAATAGTGACCCTGTCACACACATCTCCCCTGCGAGCAGAGGTTTTTCTCTTGCATGGCTTTTAGCGTTTACGAAGTCGTTCGGGTGGCTTGTCTGTCGTGTGGTTAGTTTGTTTACGCCTTGCCTCTGAAGGGGCATAAAAAAACTAACAACGCGACAGGCAAGCCACGCGAACGACTTCGTAAACGCTAAAAGCCATGCAAGCGAAAAACCTCGGCTCGCAGGGTAAACCACATCTGTTCTAAATCATGTCATTCCTGCTTTATATCGCACCATTTTGCCCTATATCGAGTCATTTCTGTTCCAAATACAAAATGAGATGTAAAAGCCTTTTTGTTTCCGCTTTTCAACAAACCGACTACTAAATCGATAAAATATTGGTACTGAGTGAATTCGGCGATTTAAAAATGGCTGTAATAAAGTGGTAATTTAACTTCCTGTCGTGCAATTTTGGTCTGAAATAACACTTGTCATTTCAAATCGAACTCGCAACGCGCGCAAGTCCGATTTTGAAATCACGCGGATGATTTCAGACCCTGGTTTCAGACCAAATCAGTTGCACTCCAATCAGTTCAACTACTATTATTAACTATGATTGTAACTTTATTTTAATGATTAATTTGTTGTGATAAATTGATAATGAGGCGCTAGAAATCGTACTAATTCTACGCACAATTTGTGNCGAGCAGAGGTTTTTCTCTTGCATGGCTTTTAGCGTTTACGAAGTCGTTCGGATGGCTTGTCTGTCGTGTGGTTAGTTTGTTTACGCCTTGCTTCTGAAGGGGCATAAAAAAACTATCAACGCGACAGGCAAGCCACGCGAACGACTTCGTAAACGCTAAAAGCCATGCAAGCGAAAAACCTCGGCTCGCAGGGTAAACCACATCTGTTCTAAATCATGTCATTCCTGCTTTATATCGCACCATTTTTGCCCTATATCGAGTCATTTCTGTTCCAAATACAAAATGAGATGTAAAAGCCTTTTTGTTTCCGCTTTTCAACAAACCGACTACTAAATCAATAAAATATTGGTACTGAGTGAATTCGGCGATTTAAAAATGGCTGTAATAAAGTGGTAATTTAACTTCCTGTCGTGCAATTTTGGTCTGAAATAACACTTGTCATTTCAAATCGAACTCGCAACGCGCGCAAGTCCGATTTTGAAATCACGCGGATGATTTCAGACCCCGGTTTCAGACCAAATCAGTTGCACTCCAATCAGTTCAACTACTATTATTAACTATGATTGTAACTTTATTTTAATGATTAATTTGTTGTGATAAATTGATAATGAGGCGCTAGAAATCGTACTAATTCTACGCACAATTTGTGCAGATCGTTCCTGACTTTTAAGATGTTCATATACTTTTTGCGTACTGCTGACTGTGTGGAAATATCGAGCAGCGTAAAAAGCTTATATTGTAAAATGACTTTATATTTCAAAAAACCAGTCATCATAAGCAAAAATAGTCGCTTTTATTCTGTGAGACACCAAATGAGGCTGTTTCCTGTTTTGGCCCACAACTGCAAAATGAGCTAACACATGCATATTGAAGCTTCCCCTCGATCACCGTGAACTTAAAAGCTTTTTCAGAATACTGGTTTTTGGTTTTTAGTTATTACTTTTAGGAAAGTTTGACCACAAAAAACTTTAGGTGAATAGACGATGCAGAGAAATAAGAGAGCGATTAAAAGACTTCGACTCTGGATATTTTCGACCGTAATATAAAGGTGGAGAAAGCAAGAAAGATCTGGCTCCGGCGTAGTCGTCTTGATAAGACTTGACTCAAACACTCTTTTTCATATATTTCCGCATATTCATCACCGTCAGTGTTGAGTAAAATGCCACTATTTTGAGTTCAATACATTTCCCGGTAGCACTGATGGTCGGTAACAAGAACAATGGGATATGTTGACATTAAAAAAGTCGTTCTTGAAATCAATATGTGACTTTGAAAGTGCGATTTAAAATTTTATTATTAAAACAGTAAACTGATCCTTACGGCAGGAAGAGTAATAGAAAAAAATAAATAAAGAAAACAAATTAAATAAAATGGTGAATTATATTTACCCGACATTTCGCCTGTTGAATCTTCAGAATCTTATTAATTTCCATGTGTCAGACATGAATTTTGTTTGATTGTGATCAAATCAGAGTTCTTGAATTTTGTGACCATTTGGCCTTTCATAATCGACACCGATGGAAAAAGAGCCTTAGAATAAGGTAACTTACCCAAGTTTAAAGATGATACGTCCAAGGGAGCGATCAAGATGTTGCTCAACAAAGTCGCGAAACTCCTAACCTAATAATACAAGATGTGAGCCTAGTTAAACTGGTTTTAGAAGAGTCCTGAAAGTAATCTCTTTTCAGACATGATGTTATTTAAACATTTTTCATGTATGTAACGTAATCCAATGTAAATAGATTTTCCTTTATCTTTTAGCCTGTTCCAGGCGTTCAGATAGTAGAGCGCGGGGAAAAAATTCACGAAGAGAAAAAAAACGAGGGGAGACTAGAGGGGGAAAGGGAGAGAGAACTCTCTCGCTCTCATCCCCCTGTCCCCCCCCCCCGTTTCCCCGGTGTACAACTTAACTCGCTCCCCACTTACCCCAGCGCTCTACTATCTGAACGCCTGTAACAGGCTATTTATCTTTCTTCATTGCCCCCGCAGAGACTTCGCCTAGGAGGCAAAATCCCGAGGAGACACTCTGGTAGCTCGCGCCATCAGTAGGCCCCTGCTCGCGTGTTTATTAAGGAAAGTACTTACAGTTGAAATATACCGTCGGTATGCCAGAAAAAGTCTCGAGTTGCTTGAACAGGGGCCGCATGGAATTGTTGGGTAATGATGAAGTTTCTTTTGTTCGCGCCCGCAAGTAAGGGATGGCTAGGATAACTGCTTGGAGAGTTTGCAAGGCACGAGCTCGCAAATCTTTGATTGGAAAAAATTTGCCAGACATTCTTTCTCTCTCTTTGAGGAAATAAGACTCACTCCAGGTGAGAGGCAGATCGCACCTATAGGAAGGGGCTCTGTGATTGGTTACTGCTTAAATGCTTTGTTATTTATTATGTGTAGATGCGTACATTGAAGAATTTAAAGGGGTATACAGGGCAAAACAGTAAATGTTGTTCAGGGTACTCAAAAAAGGCACTAAACTGAACCTTGGAGCAATAATATGTGTATATGTCCGATATTTTGGGTTGCAGTAATGACTTTTGCAAGGGTTTTCAGGGTTGTAGGAAAAAACAGGGGCACCCAACGAGAATATAGTTCAAAACCACTTAAAAATAGCATGGTAAACGTATTTTAGTATTTAAACGGTAGATATAGGCATATTTTTGTCCCTTAAAAATTTTTCATCTGTTCGGATATCCTAGCTGAAAGTCTAGTGATCCGAAAATTATAGGGATCAAAACTTACCTTTTCTTAGGGCAAAAATCCGTTTAAAATGGGCAATTATACCACTTTTTAGATGTTCGAAAATCCTAGGAGAGGCAGGCAAGCAAGAAATTTTACAATAAATGTTCAGAAAATTCTAGATCTCAAATGGTCTTCCGAACAGATATTTGACGTTGGGTGCCCCTGAAATAAGAGAGGCCTTTTAGTCTAGCCAGGGATTGTGACGGTAGTCAGGGTTGTACGGGTTGTTTATGAGGGTTGTAGGGGTTGTGAGGGTTGTCATGGTTGTATGGGTTTTCGGGGTTGTGAAAATTTTTGATCAACATGTTGATGTTTTGATTTGTATTTTGATAAACACAAGCGCGCCTTCTCATTGGTTGAAAAGTGTCGCGTGACCAGTTGGCCCTGTCCTTAAATTTAGGGATATTCCGGACTGATAAACCAGTATTTCGTTGTTTTTGACAAGTTGTGATCGAACACACACGATTTCAGCAGTACTGTATTTTTGTGTAGCGAATTCAAGTTAGGCCTGTTTCAAACGTCGTACTACTGCCGTGCCGAACACAATTGATCGAATTAAATTCGACTTTAGCACGGCAGTAGCGCGACGTTTGAAACCAAGTCGTGCTACTGCCGTCTAGCACAGCAACAGAAGGCAAGCCTTGCCGTGCTACACGACAGTAGCTCGACTTGGTTTCAAACGTCGTGCTAACGCTGTGCCGAACTCAATTCATTAATTATAAATACATTAGAATATATTAAAGAGTTTGCTAAACCGTTTCTTTTTTTGTGTGTTTTGTTTTCGGCAACAGCTGTTCCATTCGACTGTCACTGTGTGAATTAAATTAGACGTTGAAGCCAAGTCGTGCTAATGTCGTGCTGCAGTCGAGCTACAGTCGAGCAAGCTTAGCACGGCAGTAACACGACGTTTGAAACAGGCCTTAGAGAATATTTACTCTGGAGTAAATTTTTGAGAGAAAAATGTTTGCGATAATTTTTATTTGCGGGTCACTGAAAAAACCGCAAAAATTTCGTGCCAGTCACGGCATGTTCTCGAATATATCTGTGACTTTGTTTCTTGGTTAGTTCTCAACAAATCACTTTCACTCTTGGCAGCTTTACTGATTTTCAGGCCTTCTTTCCAGTGGTGTTAAAGGATTTGCCCTTGCTGGTACCACTCCAGTCTCCAGACAAAAGTTGCAAAAAACCTTGTAACGGATTTTGTTTCTAATGCAAATTACGAATCCTTATTAGCTATGGAACTTTGAAAATTGCTTGTGAATGACAAAATCCCACAACTTCATGTCAACCAAATAATGTTCCCAAACATTATAGCAAACGTTAGAAACAACAAAAATTAACTTTGAAAAACGCTTTATAGGCTTAAACGTTTTCATAATTACAATTGCAAGCTGTTTTAATCTTCAAGTTTATCCATACGTACCTAACTTTTGGTATTTGCTGTTATTTATACCTTCTCTTCACAAGTTTTGAGCATTTCCTTTTCATGTTACACTCAGTAGTTTGGAGGCACTCTTTGAATTTTGGTAAATTTTGTGACACGGTTGCAGCAGTGATGCGACAAATCACTTTCACTTTTGGCAACTGTACCGACTTTCAGGCGTTCTTTCCAGCCGTAGCTGTGACACGGTTCCTTTAAAGTAATGCAGCCTTTTAATGTCTTCACCCAGGTTGCAGTTGTAAACCGAATTTTGTTGGTAATTCTATATTTTTTCAGTGTGCTGCATCGTGCTACTGTTGCACAAGAGGTGTTATCACCTAGATGTTTCTCATACCGGCCATGTTACCATAGTAGGGCCATTTATACGAGGAAAAATAAGACGCGTCTTAAATAAGACGCGAACTGTACCATTTATACGAGCATGTCTTATCTAATAAGACGCGTCTTAGCTAAGCCGCGTCTTATTTTAGACGAAATGTGCCGTTTATACGGAAAGTTCGCGTCTTATTTAAGACGCGTCTGATGTAAGATGCGTCTTATTTTTCCTCGTATAAATAGCCCTAGTGTGTTGTAGCTAAGCCAGGTGTGTCGGTGGGTAAACATTAGTTCTTCGCATTTCACTGTAGAGTGATAAAAGAGAAAAAGAAGTTTATACTTGAAGAGCGTACTTACCTGTAGACCACAGAAGCTGCTCTTTGAAGCCACTAGTCTAATGATAATTTATCCGTGCTGCTAAAATCAGCTCAAAATAATAATCAATAGCGTAGCGCGCGAATGACTAATTTGCAACTCTTGTCTGAGTTTTGTCATTATTTAGCTTTTCTGCACGGGGTCAAGGAGCCGTGAAAGTCTCGCCTTTCAGGGATAGGGGCATTGTCATGTGACAATTCCTATTGTTTTCCCAGCTACTCCAAAACAATCTTTCAAATAGGTGCGGGATCGCCCGAAAGTCTTGACTTTTTGACAGTTTGTGAGAAAATGAGCCGTACGCCACAAGATCATTCTTTTACCTCTAATTACCCGAAAAACGCCCTTTGATTCGAGGGCTCCTGTAACTTGGGTTGAAGATAAAAAAGGGAGTCTTAGGGCTCTTACCAGGAGTCAGTAATGGCCGGTCGAACCAGACATTTTGAAAGTAAAACGATGTTTACTCAGGTTTTTTTTTTTCACCACTACCAAGCATACCATTTAAGAATAGACTGATCTGCCTGGACAATCCTGATTAATAATGGAAATCTCTTTACAACTGGAAAATGTTTTGGGCCAGATAGATAGAGAGATATTTCGAGAGAGATATTTATAGAGAGATGTATCTCATTTAGCCACGTTAGTTTTATCAGCAAAAGCGCTGGTTTATGTAAAAGCCGTGTGAAAAAAATTTAAATATCTAGCAGACAGGGTGCAAAGAAAATCATTATTACAGCTTGCCATTCGGGCAAGCTGCAGCTAGCATTGACTACCCCAGACATCATTTCAACTAGCCCCAAAAGCTTTTTGACGAGCAGAATTGATTTCATAATTCTTCTGTTATTGGAATTCCTAAAAAACCATCACTTAAATGAAGTTTATCTATTTATTTATTTATTTTTTTGCCTTTTCATGGTTTTTTGGCGTTTTTACCATTTTTAAGGCAGCTTTATTGCAACCAAAAGACAATTTTCAAGACATTTTAAAAGAGCTTAACTCATAATGTGCACAAAATAAAAGGGCTGATGAACTTAGGAGAGTAATTTTGACGAAAGATGGAAGCAGAAAAGGCACTGAGATGCAGTTTGTCTGTGAGTGTGCAAATACTGTACGTAATTGAGCTTTTAAGCGGAACAAACAAACCAAACAAACTGACTTTAAAGGGGTAACAAAATTACTGGTAAACGTTACCCCCTGATCATGACTTACCCTGTTCAAGACTAGGCTCTCAGATAGTGGGGGAAGACGCGAAAGAAAAAGGCACGCGAAAAGTTGGCCCGCCTCTCCCCAGTTTCCTTCCGTGTCCTTCCGTGTCCTTCCTTCAGTGATCTAACAACTCACGATCATAGCCTGTTTACATGGAGGTGGGGTGCCCCAGATAGGTGAGGTAACCTGCTTAGGTGGGTAACCCGCCTGTCCACATAATCTCTCATTTTAATGTGATCACGTTTACATGCTAGGTGGGGTAACCCGGCACATGTTACCTCACCTACCTGGCGTCCCCCACCTTCATGTAAACAGGCCCTCGGTTACGGAACTGATGAACCAGGTTGAATTTTAATTTTGTCAGTGCTTTTGCCATCTGCTAATGTACATAATGCACAGCGTGCCACTTAAGCCAATTCAAAAAGGCGCCTCACAGCTAACTTACCACTTGTTCACGCAACCACGCCTTTGCCGTACAAAGATTTAGACGGTTAGGGTGTCGAAGTTTCGACCTTACCGGCTAAAAGGTTCACTTAACGTTCGCCA